ACAAGAATTAAAAAATCTACAGTATGATCTATTCATGCTCCATTGCATGCTGGGTACATATGCACTGTAGAAACACAGTGTGATGCTGTTTGTTTACAAGAAATGTAAGAGAGTGCAGTTAAATACAAGAGAAGTCCCACTGTGAAAGTAATGCGATTATTAACCTGAATATACTGTAATTTCACACTATAATTTTTAACAGTGTAGGTCAAACATCATTCATTGGTATGGTAGCAAATACAAGTATTTTTAGTGCACCACCAAATGATGTAACTCAAAACATGTAATTAACACGTTGTTAGCTTGTTTGCACTCCTAATATGTTCCCTTGACCATTTCAGGAAAGTATCTTGACCACCACATCTCCCAGTGGGCTAAGATAAATGGACCTTCAGGTTTAATTAGCCATTTTAACCACAATTAAGTCCCTCTGGTCATAAGGTCAAAAGACCAGTCCCAGTGAGGCTTATGACTGATGATTTAGATGAACAATATTGCATCATTATATAGATGATGACTCTGACACCGATATGTAAACCATTGTGTATAATTGTATTTATTTACTATTATTATTATTATTATTATTATTATTATTTCTCAGTTTTCTTTAAATGCAAATGATTAATCTAGTGCTAATGCCAATTTACAATTTCATATATTCTGACCATTTGTTTTAAAAATACGGTGAAATATTCAAAACAGGCTGGTCATATTAAACACTTTCAAATGCATATCTGAATAATATTTCATTGTCTTTTGGAAGACTTAAGAAGTTTAGCAATTTAGCAAGTTAGCTAGCAATTATAGGCCAGTAAAGCTAATTTGAAAGCTAACAATTAACCAAATGAATTTCTCCCTGACCTTTTCCTGAATTCATTTACTAGCCTCTAACTGTTTGCAAACTGGAATTTGATTTATTATTTACTAATTCACACTGCTCCAACAGATGGCAACAAATGGCAACAGACACGATCATCGAGTTTTGTCTGATCAGTGTGTAAACACAGTTGGCGCTAACGTTGGTCAGTGCTTGTTTTCATGGACTGAAAATCAGCGTTTGTCAGGTCTTGGAATGTCTGAGAAGTGACATACTGTACTCGGACGGCTGTTGGCGTTGATCTGTCTGTCAGTGTCACTTTTTGTACATGTAAAAAAATAGCCAGGAATTGACAGGATTAAAGAGTATTATTTTACAATATATTACAATTGTAGTCAGAAATTTTCTGTGAAATCAATGCATGCTGGGTAATTTTCTTACAAATGACTGTGAATGAACAGCAGAATGATGCTAACATCACAGTAATTTACTGCTCTTATTTTACTGTAAATTCCCATAATAAGATTGTCTTTAACTGTACCACTTTGAGAAATATAGATGTTTACTACTGTAATTGTTTTGAAGTCACCATAATGGTGATTGGTGATTCCATTTGTTTGGGCTCTTTGACCTTGCATATTCAAATTCAAATTTATGATCTAGTCATATCGGAAGTGTAATCAATGAAAACATTTGTTAAAATGATGATAAGCTAGAATTTGAAATAATCTAATTGGCTGATTTCAAGACAGTTGAACTATTCTTAGCATGAACTTAAAGATTTTATTAAGCATGACGATTAATCAATAACTTATTTTTATATTCATAACTGTTTGTGGATGGATCTTTCACAATAGTGAAGCAACTGCTGAGAAACGTCTTTGAAAGATGTGGCATCAATACTGGACATAGAAAACATGGTAACTCTTAACAAATAAAAACAACACTTACAACATAAACCAACATTACAAAATAAACAAATAACACAACCTGCTAAAAGTGAACCAAAAACAAGTTCAATAGCACAAATAAAACCTACAAGAATTAAAAAATCTACAGTATGATCTATTCATGCTCCATTGCATGCTGGGTACATATGCACTGTAGAAACACAGTGTGATGCTGTTTGTTTACAAGAAATGTAAGAGAGTGCAGTTAAATACAAGAGAAGTCCCACTGTGAAAGTAATGCGATTATTAACCTGAATATACTGTAATTTCACACTATAATTTTTAACAGTGTAGGTCAAACATCATTCATTGGTATGGTAGCAAATACAAGTATTTTTAGTGCACCACCAAATGATGTAACTCAAAACATGTAATTAACACGTTGTTAGCTTGTTTGCACTCCTAATATGTTCCCTTGACCATTTCAGGAAAGTATCTTGACCACCACATCTCCCAGTGGGCTAAGATAAATGGACCTTCAGGTTTAATTAGCCATTTTAACCACAATTAAGTCCCTCTGGTCATAAGGTCAAAAGACCAGTCCCAGTGAGGCTTATGACTGATGATTTAGATGAACAATATTGCATCATTATATATAGATGATGACTCTGACACCGATATGTAAACCATTGTGTATAATTGTATTTATTTACTATTATTATTATTATTATTATTATTATTATTATTATTATTATTATTATTATTATTATTATTATTATTATTATTATTATTATTATTATTATTATTATTATTATTATTATTATTATTATTATTATTATTATTTCTCAGTTTTCTTTAAATGCAAATGATTGCATAATTATTAAAAAAACATAGTTCTTCAAAGGACAAGTAATACCATAGATCAATATAATATAGATCTACTATAGACAAAATGATGTAACTCGGTCTTTGTCTTGATTTTTCTTATTGGTCAATGCCTGGACTACACACTTGAATCATTAGTAAACCCTGCATTTATAATAATAAAATATATTTCATGTTTTCTAATACTCTTTTGCATATCCATATTGCATTCATATGCACTCATGTGTAAAGCATTCTTACAGTTTAATTATACAATTAAGTAATGAGAAATATTAATTAACAACATTTGCTTAGGGTTAGAGTTAGGATTAGGGTTTAGTTTCAAGCTAGTTGTATATAATTTTGCTTAATTTACTGGTACATGTAACGTAAGAAGGACACTGTAAAATAAAATGTTATAAAATATTTCAGTTAAATTCTAGTTGGGTGTTAATTTACAGGATGGCATGTGAATGACAGTCAAGTGATAGTTCTGTAAGTCCTTGAGAAAAGAAACAAAGTGTGAACATGTGTTGTCCCAAGGTCAGGGGGTAACATTTGTAGATCGAATAAAGAAGAAAGTTGATGGCCATAGCGAAGACTTACAGAAATCCTACAGACTAAGAGAAAGCCATTTGTGACTTACTAGAACTTCCACGAATTATATTTCAGTTAAATTCTAGTTGGGTGTTAATTTACAGGATGGCATGTGAATGACAGTCAAGTGATAGTTCTGTAAGTCCTTGAGAAAAGAAACAAAGTGTGAACATGTGTTGTCCCAAGGTCAGGGGGTAACATTTGTAGATCGAATAAAGAAGAAAGTTGATGGCCATAGCGAAGACTTACGAAATCCTACAGACTAAGAGAAAGCCATTTGTGACTTACTAGAACTTCCACGAATGATGCTGGTGATTCCCAGTTATGCTAGTCAGGCCTGACAGGTTGGTGTGGTCATAGCCAGGACTTTTGAAGGTTCCCTTTGTGTAATGTTTTGCTTTGATAGCTCCATGCAAGCAAATGTACTAATCCTGCATGTTCAGGTATACAATGCATAAAGATGGAATATTAAAATAAGAATAGTTTTAAGGTTTTCAACTTTACATTTTTTATTAAATATAATTTAAATATTAAATGTTCAAATTTTAACTGGTGACATATAACATATAACAAGTTATTTGTGCATATTGTTACAGCTGTACTTATAGCAAAACAATAATAATAGTAAATATATAAATAAAAAAGGAAAGAAAGAAAGATTCAAAGACAGTAAAGTACTAGCACATACCACATGCCAGAAAAAGAATTAAGTAACAATAAGGAAATGTGCCATAAGTATTTTATTGAATTTTAGAGTTGAAATTGTTACAGAACATCAAGCAGATATTTAGTTTTATGAAGACATCCGAAGTATAGTGTTTGCGCCTCATCATTTAAGACTAAACAAATAATTTCAGAAAATTACATTGTATTATAAGCAACACTGTAAAACCAGTAAGAAGCTTTTTAAAATAACATTGTTATGTTATCTTTTAAGTGCTTATTCTGGAAAGTGGCCAACTTTTGAGCGCTGAAACAAGCATGCAATGTTTTTCCGAATTTCTGGTAAATTTAAGCCATAAATAAGGGGATTCAGAACAGGAGGGATAACCAGAAATTCCACTGAAAAAATTAAAGCAACAATCTTAAATTTGTCTGAATCATACCTACTCAAAGCAATATCACAAAACGATGCTATAGAGTAATTAACAAAGCTTATAATGTGAGGAAGACATGTTTGTAATGCTTTGCCCCTAAATTCTTTGGAGCTTTTTTGACAAATGATCAAAATTCTGACATAAGTATAGAAGATGAAGAAGGCAGGGAGAAAAACTGTTGTTGTTGTGACAAAAAATCCAGTTATGTTGTTACTCAAAGTGGAAGTCCCACAAGACAGCCGAACCACAGACCAGTTTGAGCAGTACAGTCGAGCTATGTCAGTCCCACACAAAGGCAACCTGGCTGAGAAGAAAATAACCAGACCCATAGAAAACACTGCATAAAGTGATGCTAGTGCCATGTACAGTGCTGTCACTTTTGAGGTCATAATTTTATGATATTTCAAAGGATTGCAAATGGCAACATATCTGTCATAAGCCATCAGAGTTAATATGGTATATTCAGACATTGCAAAAGTATAAATTGTAAAAATCTGAACAAAACACGCTGTCCTAGAAATTGTATTTGTATCAAAAAGGAGATCAACCATGAGCCTAGGGAAGAAACCAGCTGAGCCATAGAGATCATTGACAGACAAACAAGATATCAGTATGTACATTGGCTCATGAAGAGATCTCTCTTTAAACACCACAAACAAAATGATGACATTAAATAGTATAATTGCTAAATAAACTGTAAGTGTCAATATTAGGATAAGATATTTCATGTGCACAAAATCATTGAACAAAGTGAAATAAAAATATGAAGGCATGGTTCCATTTTCCATGTGGTGATCAAAAAAGACAATGAAAGTTCCACTTAAAATAAATATTTAGATTCAGTTTTCCCCCCCGTTATTTAAAGAGTAAAGCATCCAATTGCTTTTTCTTCCCTTGTTCAGTCTACAATATCTCTTTCTTTGCTCCAGCTATTTTTAAAGTAACAATCAAGAGAGATGAATGGTGAAGGGCAAAGGGAAGAAAACTGATTGTTGCCGTTGATATGAGGCAACTGCTCAATTTGCTGTTAGCCGATTATATAACAAGAGCTGACACCTTCTGGGTCTTAACCAACTATACACATGGGAATTGGGCACATTTTTTTATTTTATTTTGCTGTTCAATAAGTTGATCAACTAAAATAAAACCCTTTATCTTTTACAGAACAGCAGTTGGTTTTTAGTTGATGCAGGTTTTATAATGGCTGTTGTTGTTTATTAAATATGATTTAATAAATATTATTTTATATGAATAATATTAGTTTTTAATAATAGTATTTGGTATTGAGAAACGGTCTGAGTGTTAGTGACGGTGATTTTGGTTACATCGTTACAAGAGACTTTATGAGTGAGTCAGCAGTAAAGACTTTTATATTGAAATAAACTGAAACAAGGTTGTAAACCGGGACTGTTGTAACCAAACACAGCTTTGGAACCAAGAGCAGTACACAGACTAAAACGGATGCAAATAAAATGTATCGCCAAAAAATCAAGCAACACAATCCATCTCTCATTCGCTGTTAAAGATTGTTGGTTGTGGTGAGCTGGAAACTAAACAGGCCAGAGATATGTTGGTAGAGTTGAGTGAGTAGATTGTTGATCGGGCGTGGCAGGCAGAATGCAGGATGAATGGAGGTGGAGTGTAGTGATGTGTCGTTCACGAATGAGTTATAGTCATCCTGATATGGAACAGGTGTTAACTGATAAAGAAATTCAGGTAATTGCAATTGGTGATGAGTCATGGGAAAAGGATTATGGGGAATGTAGTCTGTGAGAATGTAAGAACAGTCTGAAGGGGAGTGCCAATAGTCAGGGATGGAATGCCCTCTGGTGGAGCTCATGGGCACTCTAGCTGGTGATCGTAACACTCATAACACTCTGCTCTAGTGATGGGAGAAGCAAAAGTTTTCAAAGCATCAAATCAATTGAACCAATTGCTTCACAAAATTATTCACTGTTTCAAAGCATTCAAAATGCCACACTCTGGTGACTCCTGCTGGTCAGAACTGTGTAAATACAACAAAAACTCAGGCCAAAAACTCATAAAACAGCTTTTGCAAACCCATTGAAAGTGTTACATTGAATGTAAAATCTGTCAAATGTAATTAACTAATCATCTAATACGATTAAATATAAAGTGTTGGTATATGTTATTTTATCAATTTTCAGGGCTTGTTTAGTTTGTTCTATGGCTCAGCTAAACGGGCTAAAAACTACAGACACTTGTCCTGTGGTTTGCTGCTGGAGGACAATGTCAGTGTTCCAGCATGATTCATGGTTTCACAGAGCTCGCCCCCAGCGATGAACCATTGAAATTTCAAAACCTATTGAAACTATGATGATGTAACAAAGCCTAATTTACTGAAATCAAGTGACTTTGGCAGTTTGATATGTGCTTCAAACCAGTGATTCCAAACAAAAGATTCATAAATTTGAAAGTGGCCATCGCTACTCTACTCTACATAGTACAATAAGCTTTCAATGAAGCAACTAAATTTTCCATCTTTACCTTAAAGTAAGGTTTTCGAATTAGTAATGGAGGCTTGGGCTTGCCTGTTAAACTGTCAACCTGAGATCAGAATCAGAATCAGAATGAGCTTTATTGCCAGGTATGTTTACACATACGAGGAATTTGTTTTCGTGACAGAAGCTTCCACAGTGCAACAGAATGACAGTGACAGAACAAAAAAAACAGATAATAAAAATAAAAATAGAACAAGCAAATAAGGAATAAAAATATATAAATTGACAAATGTGTGTGCACGTATATTACAATAGACAGTTTTTTTTTTATGTACAGGTACTGTATATTATGTGCAAATTTGAGGTGTAGGCTGAGTATGAGTGTTAGATAAATAAGTGTATGAGTGAATAAATAGTGTGTGTTCCACGGTTATTGTCAAGTGTTCATGAGATGGATGGCCTGAGGGAAGAAACTGTTCCTGTGTCTGGTCGTTCTGGTGCTCAGTGCTCTGTAGCGTCGACCAGATGGCAACAGTTCA